CCGCCGGCAGTGCGAGTCAACTGGCAGTTTGATTGGCACCTAATCACCAAAAACAATAAGATTAGAGCCTTTCAGATAGTCTACAATCCCGTCAAATCCAGGTACGAATGAATAGTTTTATATACTTTTCGCTTATAAAAGTAAACATTGTCGTTTTGTAATTTATTTATTTGTTTACTTATTCTTAAGTTCAAATAAATCAATAATAGTAATAATTTCATAAATTCAAATTCAAATATAAATAAAATAATTTTAGAGATTTTGGATGTGACATTTCTATTGTAATTTATTATATTGTAACCTTTAAACTTAATGAATGTCACTATAAATGTAATCAAAACACCTGATTATATTACAAGTGTTAGAAAAGTCTCCACTTTTTATTATTATTATAATTTATATCAACATTAGTTATATTAAAAGACGACAAAATACATTTAATATATTATTGATTTAATTCTCATATCTAATTAACAAAATCAATAAAATGTATAAAAATAAAGTAAAATAATTTTCTTATACATTGATAATATTTTACTAATAATACATTAAAAACAACATTTGTTTATATATAAAAATTAATTTCAAAAAAGTCTACCATAAAAACTATATCACATGAACAGAAAAGCCATAAAGTTTTTGAGAAGTTTCTTAATATAATAAAAATATTATTTCAAAATCAATTTTATCTGGGGATATAATACAGTAATAAGAATAATGACTAGAATTTTATAATATATATATAATAAATATATTTTGTCATTGTAGAAATAAATAAATATAATATATAATTTGAATTTTGGGCTAAAAACTAAGCCATAAATGAAAGCTTATATATTTTATGAGCGATTTTATAGATGTTCTTGAATTTACATAAAATTTAAATTCGTATTTACTTTTCGGAGATATTTTTATTGAAGCCGTTTGTGAAGACAACATGAGAACAGATTTCACTTCACTTATTGTTATTCATATTCATTGCAAAACATATGAATGAGTTATTCTTGAAGTTTAGACATAAAAAGTCTATACCAATGAATACAGACTGTGAGAAAGAAACGTGCATTTCGTGCCTAGAATTAGATTAACTCATCCTTTAAGCCATATTTGACTTATACTTCTCGTGTAAGTAATAAAAACGCTTTTTTCCATTTCAATTCAATGCCACCAAAATATTTTACAACAAATTTATCGCTTTAATCTGTTATGCATTCAAGAGATTTGGTGCGATTTTATAAATAAATCGATTTGTTTGTCATCCCTTTCCTCAATCAAACCCATAACCCATAAGTTTATTTCCAGAATATATTGTTCTCAGTATTTATGGCGAAAGGATTGTTTGCTGTATGTGTGATATCTAATGATATAATTTATGAGCATTTCTCAGAAGTCTATGTTTTGAAAGCAAATAAAATTTTTATTCTTTGCATTTGTTTTATGATGAATTGAATTTCCCGAAATTAACTCTAAATGCAATCGACAAATAGAGAGCCAATGGGTGAGAGAGAGAGAGAGAGAGAGAGAGAGAGTTTGCAAATAATTGTTAAAATTTATTGCAAATAAATTTAAATGAAGAATATAAGGAATTCTGTTGTAAAACATTTTGTTAAGCCAAATGACTGTAAGTGTGGTGCTAACGAAATGGCATTTATTTTGCAGACTTCAATAATAGGGACTTTTATTTGAATTTATTTATAATAGAAAAGGAATTTTAAAAAATAAAAAGAGAAAAATCTCTGTCTTTGTAGTATTGGTCTAAACAGTGAAAATGGCTTTAATTAATATTATGTAGAGATCATTCAATGGTATAATTCTGCACTTAAATCAATGGATAACTCAATAAAACTAATGGAAACTCACATTCAGTTTGAATCCAATTACAGTGACATTCACTTCGAGCGCACAATAAATATAAATGATATTTGAAAAGGGATTCCAAAGCAAAGCAAAAATTACAAGACATTAGTTGTGCTGACAGTCTGTGAGCGACTATTTTGGCTAAAACTTTGAACGCAAACTTTTATCTTATATTTTGCTTTGAAGGCAAACGTATTGTCCAAAGTTAAGTCAAATTCAATTCAAAACAAATAGATCTTAAAGCAATGGCTATTTTAGTCGTATTTTTATGCTATTATATGAGAAAACATACATTTTTATGTTATTAACTTAATTCGGCAAATATTTCCTATCTGTTCCCTACTATTTGTGTCGATTTAATGCCATTCCTATCACTTATGGTCAGTTAGAGTACCGGACAAAAATAGCCACCAGTCATAGACAGTCACATATCAATACTTTGCAACTAATTTAGTATCAAAAATATTCTCGACTTTCTTCATTCCTTATTTGTTTTGAAATAAAATTTTAGTGCAAAACTTTTGCCTCACTTTTACGACACTTGATATTTTGAAATATGGAAACAAAACCAAAAATAATCAGATTTGCGAAACATTTGATTTTATGCTCTTATTTTGCTGCAAAACTCGTGTAACGCTTGACATAAGAGATACACGAGAAGTGCGGATCACTTCTGTATTCACGGATCCCATCATTTGATCACTCAATTGATTTGCATTTTCTCTCTTCAATTTCCTTATGATCTGAAATTTAGATTTTAATATGAAATTTAAATTTCGAGATTTTTTTATTTTACTTGTATTCAATACATTTAGAGTTTGGTGAAACATTTATTGATTTCTTATTCAAAAGCCTATTTTAATGCCAAAAATTGGTAAAAATTATATTTTTGGCAAATTTTCTACTTTTGAAACAAAACGTTTATAATTATCATGAGATTGAATTATAACACACAAGGCAAACCTATTATTTTATAATAAAGTTACAAAACTTTTCGCTCGACTAATCTCTATTTAACATTCACTTGAAGCCAAAAAACGATTAAAAATAGAATCGATTCATTCAATAGTGAATTGAAACACAAGTCATATAAAGTTATTATTAAAATTTCGGATCGTTTTTAGGATTGAATGCTATTTTATATTTGACTCAAGAATAAGTAAACCATTGATTTCCTATACAAGTCGACAATATTTTTGTTTTCATGTTATATTAATAACATTTGTTTCGAAGTTAGGAAAAAACAATTGATTAGCAATCAATCATATGTTGTGTTTTTATTTATGGTGCATTTAGGTTCAGAATCATTCAAGAAGTATCACCAAGGGTCCTAAACTTAACACTGGATCGACTGGCACCGGGATCGGAGTATCAACTCCACCTCAATTCGGTCACCGAATCCGGTGATAGCAACTCAAGCCGTATCGTGCATTTCGTGGCACCGGATAATGGTATGAATTCCTTCCCTTTCCCTTACACTTAGTCATTGAGGGTATATTTGTTACAAATAAGTGGTTATCACTTAAAATACTTTCATTTGTTTATTCGACTCTCAAATGCGGTGTCGAAAAGTATTTAAAAATATTTATTTTAAAGTGACTCTTATACTCAATATACAAATCAATAATACTAGTATATTTAAATATATACAAAATTCATTGAATACTTAGCGTTAAAATTTCAAAAACAAGATAAAACCAAAATAATATTCAATTTTTTCCTACAAAAAAATTTATTCAATTTACGGTCTATTTAAGAGATAACAAATAAAGTAGTCGTTTGTTTTTATCATCGATTGAAAGCATTATATTATTATCTATTCATTGATTCATTGCTTTAGATTCGCGACGCTTTTCACGCATTGGTCTCAACCATCCCATCCACACCGACCCCAACGAAGCGCCGGAAGGGTTTCGCGTCAAAGAGGATGAAGTGATTATAGTAGTGATAGTGTTGGCCGCGTGGGTCGGCTGTATTTTGTTGTTTTTTAACAAATGGGGCAAAATCCGGATGTTAGAGCCCTATCAGCCGGCATACAGAGAGACATTCAGCAATTCTGTTCACTCCCTACACCCGAAGACATCGCGAATGAACACCTGTACGAGCGCTACCGCACCCACACATATGCACTCAACCGAGAGTCGGGCCAGTCTTCTGTGCGATCGCGACCTCCTTATACACCACAACCGACTCGTGGGCAGCGGTCAGCTCTACCAGTGCGCGTCGGGCGCCACCTACCACAACCCGGCCTACCGGCCTCGACTCAACTCCGTGTTCGTCGGCTCCTTCTCACATCGCGACTCATTATCACCGGAGCCACAGATGCCGAGGAAGGTCAAGAGTGCCGAAGATCTCAAGTCATTAGTCGTTCAGGTGACTGACTATAACATGCCGTCCACTTCCACATCAGTCATTTAAATCGTGACATTTCATAGGCTTTTAAAATCGTGACTTTCATAGGCTTTTCGTATCTATTTTTCGCTCCATATTCTGTACTTAACTCTATGAAAGAGTTTTATTGACTCAAAGGATGCCTCGAATTTGAATTGTTTCTCAAATCACTGAAGGATTGCTAAGAATACTAATTACAATATCTTCGGCCAATGGTTACAATTAAAGGGATAATTAAAATGAAGTGCATCTTAAAGAGTGACATAATTAAGTTGTTTATTGACATATTATATAACATATTATACATACGATAGATTTTCTAGTAAGCTTCAACTTATATAATCATTTAGTTTTTTGATTGATATACAGTACTTGTATTTGAGTGACATTTGACTTTTCATTATAATTTATAAATAATTCTCTGATTTTCATCTATTTTATGGTCTTATAAAACAATTCATCGAATATTATGTGTGAAAATTAAGTGAAGTTTTAAATGCAAAATAATTTGTTACAAACCATAATCAATACCTTATTAAAATAAAACCATGTTTTGTTACATTTAATTGATATCTAAAATGTGGATTCATTTTAAATAAGTTGTAAAATTGTTTGCATTAAGTTAAATATATATAAATTTAGTTTATTTAGAATTGAATATTTTTATCATTAAATTATCGATTAATAGTTAACAATTTTTGAAATAATATAATCAAAGTCATAAAAATAAAAGATTATGTATAATATGATCACAATTTTTTATATATAAGAATTGTTGGAGATATTCAAGTGTTGAGAAAAATGTTTAAAAATTATTTTAGAAAACAATATTATTTATAATGATAATATATTTATTTATTTTAATTTAATGCCTTGATTTCTGATTTTCTAATATAAACCAAAAAATATTATTAAAAACACTATAAAAATATTGATAAATAATTTTAGCAATAGTTTAAAAACTAAACATTTTCTCTATAAATTATGGAGACAAGTTTTAAATGAAAATCTTATGTAGAAATTATTTGGAAAAATAAAAATAATTTGTTTGAAAAACTTATTTTTAGTGACTTTCTATTTAATTAACACTAATTTTTTGTGACTTTATTTTGGTTGTGAATTGAGTTGATGTCATGATGTATTTTAAAAATTCAATTATTTATTAATAATATTGCTAGAAAATGTATAATATTTACAATGTTATTTATAATTTGATTATTGTATAAGACATGACTTAATTCCTTAATATTTTTGTTACTTTATTGGTGAGTAATTACAATATATACGAAAATTATATTATATCTCAATTTGAAATATTAAACACTTTCTCATACACTTTTGTATATGATATATGATAAAACTAATATTAATTTTTAAAAAATAGTTTCAACAAATACCGTAAGTATTAATTTAATTTATAAATTGTTTTCATTTTAACAATTATCTAAATTACCATTATGTAAATTATAAAAACAGTAAAATAATTTTGGGAGTTATTCAAATATTTTACTATAATTTGTTTGGAACTAAAAACTCTTTTATTAAGTTAATTGCTTTTAATATGAAAATAATCTCATCATAATATATGCATAGAGTTTTGCAATGTGTACTTTGGGACTAAACTTTGCTGATAAATGTCAATAAATTAAATTTATTTTTTAAAATATATAAATATCACAAACCTTGCACACAACTCATTATCTCAGTAATTTACCCTTATTATTTGTACAGTACAGTACATTAAAAAAATATTTAATAATGTAAAGTATTGTATTTAATTTTGGTAAATACTGGGTTTCCTTAACTCAATGAATGGTAAATATTTTAGAATTTTTCAGAATATTGTTTCTATTTAATCTTATTATTAAAAACATTTTATATGTCTTTTACTATTATTCACAAATGAATTTTCAAAAATTACTTATGGAAGGACAGTACTTATACATTTATAATATTTTAATCATTTCAATGAATATAATAATATAAAAATTTAACATTATTGACATTATGATTAAATTTATTTAATTCATAAATTTTTATGTTAATCCCGGAACTTATTAATTGAATATAATTTGTCTAAATTTCTATAAATGTTTTATTATTTTAGATCGATTATAATTTGTCCAAAGAATTGATTTTGTTTGAATA